CAGGTGTGTGTGTGTGTGTGTGTGTGTGTGTGTGTGTGTGTGTGTGTGTGTGTGTGTACTTTTCATAACTTCTAAGCGGCTCCACCGATCGGGACCAAACTTTGACATTCAAAAGGGATTCTTTGCTATTAAATTTCCTGAAAACTTGAACGAATCACATGTAATTGTTGTCCGAAGCAAAGCCGAGGTCAATAAACATATGATCTGAGACATTTCTTACTTTCCTGCCCGAGGTGTGTAATATACTATTACAAACACAGGGACAGCATTGTGAAAATAACCAGATAGCTTCTTCGAGAACAATTACTTTTATTTTTGGGTTATTGGTAGAATAAAAAGTGAAAAAAAATAATTCTTTTGGTCGTAAATTGAAATAAAATTTCTAATAACTTATTAATATATAGATTTTTAGTTGTTTTGGGAATGAATATTCTCAAGTACACATAAAATTACAAATTTTTGAAAACAGTTCCGAACTGACAATTTGTTTGAAACATACCTCGTTATAACGTTCATATTGTTTTGTTTGAACATATGGTTCACATATTTTTTCAAGTAAATCAATGACTTCTTTTGGTTGTACATCAATTTTTTTATGATCTCTTAAGCGAAAATTGTCAAGACATGATTTTATATTAAACAAAACTCGATGTTGTATCGTCATGTTAATTGATAACACAAAAGGCCATAAATTGAAATCACGATAGTTAATTTCGATGAAATTCTTAAAATCTGAATTATTTTGTAAGAATTGATCAACCTTATTAATATCAGTTACATTTGCTAATGCCGGATATTTACGATTAATTTGCTGTATCATTCCTGTTGCATAACTATTGCCATGTTTTAAATATACATTAGTTGTGAGTCGATCAGATAAAAGATCAATCAAAATTGCGGTAATTTCATGAATTAATATTGTTTCGTCATCGGTGAACGGGATATTAAAACGGGAGAATAGAAGAAGAAAGATACGCATTACATAGGAAAGCATTTGCATTGGATATGTTAAACTAACTCGCTCAAGCATCGATTCATTGTAAGAAAGAAGATCATAAAGATACTGACTTGAAATTTTCAGCAAATCTGATAAAGGTAGATCACCAATTTTCAATTTAGCGATATTACTATATTGATAAATTATAGCCAATTGCTCTGGTGTAATTTCTTTTATTAAATCATTTAGAAGATTCAAGAAAATATTGAACATTTCTTTTAAATTATTATCTGCAGCAGCATCATCTGCTTGTAGTTTTAACTCTTCACTTATAGTCTGTAGTGCATCAGTTATCGATGACATACAAGGTACGGTCTGATAATCTAAAGAATGTTGATGGATTGTAGCAATCCATGTTAACACTTTTTGGGCAGATATTACATTCATTATTGAAAATTCCTTGATAGCTAAATCATCGTATTCAAACGTACTGTGATGCTGACGTAATGATAAAATGTTTTCAAATACAACGTACTGGATATTATTGTAAATGAATTGACCATTTTCTGAAATACCTATGTTTTCTATAACTTGATCGTTCTGGTCTTTAATGAACACACCTTGTGGTATATTATCAGCTATTATCAATTCAAATTTCTTTATGTCCATTTTCACAATACTTAACGCTATCAAAGTCGTATATTCTAAAGTATAGTAGAATGTCAATCTATAAAAATGCTTATCTACAATGTATATCCTTTAAATTACGAATAGTGATTTATTGGGCGTAAGCGAATAAACTAATCATAATGAACAACATAATGCTACAGGTACAATTACAAGTTAATATTGCTTTGCTTAAAAGTTATCTGTTGATTGGCCCGATGCATAAGGATTGTTAGTACGTTGTAAATACTGCAGACTAAATATTGTACATGAGTAAAATTCACGCAATAGTACGCAATGTACTATTGCGTGAATTTTACTCATGTACAATATTTAGTCTGCAGTATTTACAACGTACTAACAATCCTTATGCATCGGGCCAATCAACAGATAACTTTTAAGCAAAGCAATATTAACTTGTAATTGTACCTGTAGCATTATGTTGTTCATTATGATTAGTTTATTCGCTTACGCCCAATAAATCACTATTCGTAATTTAAAGGATATACATTGTAGATAAGCATTTTTATAGATTGACATTCTACTATACTTTAGAATATACGACTTTGATAGCGTTAAGTATTGTGAAAATGGACATAAAGAAATTTGAATTGATAATAGCTGATAATATACCACAAGGTGTGTTCATTAAAGACCAGAACGATCAAGTTATAGAAAACATAGGTATTTCAGAAAATGGTCAATTCATTTACAATAATATCCAGTACGTTGTATTTGAAAACATTTTATCATTACGTCAGCATCACAGTACGTTTGAATACGATGATTTAGCTATCAAGGAATTTTCAATAATGAATGTAATATCTGCCCAAAAAGTGTTAACATGGATTGCTACAATCCATCAACATTCTTTAGATTATCAGACCGTACCTTGTATGTCATCGATAACTGATGCACTACAGACTATAAGTGAAGAGTTAAAACTACAAGCAGATGATGCTGCTGCAGATAATAATTTAAAAGAAATGTTCAATATTTTCTTGAATCTTCTAAATGATTTAATAAAAGAAATTACACCAGAGCAATTGGCTATAATTTATCAATATAGTAATATCGCTAAATTGAAAATTGGTGATCTACCTTTATCAGATTTGCTGAAAATTTCAAGTCAGTATCTTTATGATCTTCTTTCTTACAATGAATCGATGCTTGAGCGAGTTAGTTTAACATATCCAATGCAAATGCTTTCCTATGTAATGCGTATCTTTCTTCTTCTATTCTCCCGTTTTAATATCCCGTTCACCGATGACGAAACAATATTAATTCATGAAATTACCGCAATTTTGATTGATCTTTTATCTGATCGACTCACAACTAATGTATATTTAAAACATGGCAATAGTTATGCAACAGGAATGATACAGCAAATTAATCGTAAATATCCGGCATTAGCAAATGTAACTGATATTAATAAGGTTGATCAATTCTTACAAAATAATTCAGATTTTAAGAATTTCATCGAAATTAACTATCGTGATTTCAATTTATGGCCTTTTGTGTTATCAATTAACATGACGATACAACATCGAGTTTTGTTTAATATAAAATCATGTCTTGACAATTTTCGCTTAAGAGATCATAAAAAAATTGATGTACAACCAAAAGAAGTCATTGATTTACTTGAAAAAATATGTGAACCATATGTTCAAACAAAACAATATGAACGTTATAACGAGGTATGTTTCAAACAAATTGTCAGTTCGGAACTGTTTTCAAAAATTTGTAATTTTATGTGTACTTGAGAATATTCATTCCCAAAACAACTAAAAATCTATATATTAATAAGTTATTAGAAATTTTATTTCAATTTACGACCAAAAGAATTATTTTTTTTCACTTTTTATTCTACCAATAACCCAAAAATAAAAGTAATTGTTCTCGAAGAAGCTATCTGGTTATTTTCACAATGCTGTCCCTGTGTTTGTAATAGTATATTACACACCTCGGGCAGGAAAGTAAGAAATGTCTCAGATCATATGTTTATTGACCTCGGCTTTGCTTCGGACAACAATTACATGTGATTCGTTCAAGTTTTCAGGAAATTTAATAGCAAAGAATCCCTTTTGAATGTCAAAGTTTGGTCCCGATCGGTGGAGCCGCTTAGAAGTTATGAAAAGTACACACACACACACACACACACACACACACACACACACACACACACACACGCGCGCGCGCGCGCGCGCGCAAAACGGGGTAAAACCAATAACTTCCCGAATTTTTTCAAATTTTGAATATTTCTTACTGGAAAATTAAAAATAAGGTAAACGGTAGACCCTGAAGGCCTTCCTTGCAAATTTCCTTTAATTCCATACATAAGCGCTTAAATTTGCACTTATGACGTTTTTGAGCTCTTCGAGCTCAAAAATATAGTTTATGTGTTATTTTGAGCTCAAAAGGCTCATAGAAGTTTGATGCAATAATATTCTTCAAATTTTCAAACAGCTGTTACGTCCTCACCTGCATTCGCAGATGTCTCTGATAGCAAATACGCGCGCTAATTTAAACTCTAACAATTATACAATAATTTCATAAATATTATTTTTTTATAAATAATAATATAAAATGATAAGTAAATAATTCCAAATGTTAAATATTAAACATTAAATATTAGAAATAGAAAATGATAAGAAAATGTAAAACTCAGCCAACACCTGAGTAAACAGAATATTTTTAAGTTCACATTAACATTTTCTCTCGAAGAATGTTAATGGAAAATCTAGATAGACAAATATGATTCATTGTAAGACAACTAGCGTTAAGTACAAAGGTATATTCGAGAACATTCGTAGAATGTTCTAAATAAACAAATGATAACGAACGCCTGCGTGTCCTGGACTCTAGAGTTGAGTCAGCGCTCGTCATTCGAGTGGCCCTCGAAAATGCCACGCGCATCAACTCGGGACTACAGGATATTTGGGGCCCAATAAGCAACCCTACTCCTCCTAGGGCGCGGCCCTTGGACGTGGACATATAAGCAGGGTGCACGGGTAGTTCGAGGCTCTCTTATTCTTCGAAAGCGCTTCTTGATCTTAAAGTTACGAACTTAAGACTCTTCATAAATAATTCTTGTCGTGAGACCATTAATTCCGATTACGAAATACCATCACGTACTTTACGGCAGTTGTCAAATCATATAAATTCAAAGTGTATTTTAAATAGTTAAATAAAGTTATTTATTAATTAAATTCACCGAAGTTAGTTATTTCGGAGTTAATTCGAGAACCTCTACTCACGACTCTGGAGGTCGTAATATCTTTATCTCCAGCTCTAGTTGTTCTACTGGTTACTTACAAATCCGTGAGGTAACCGGGACGTAACACAAAGTTTGGAAATCGGCCCTAGACTGGGCCATTGCTGGGCCAAGAATGTCGATTAATGGCACAGTAATGGCAATTTTCAATGGTCAATAAACGGCTTACAGTTGGCATGATAACCACGGCCCATTAATGGCATCAAACTATTGGGCCATTGATGGCAACCAGCAATGGGCCAGACATCATTTGAACTATCGGCCCATTAACGGCTAACAGTAATGCGCTAAATATTTTTTCTACTATCGGTCTACTAATTCCAAGCTGTTCTGCACCAATTATGATTTTAATCGTTTATCCTTCAATTGCTGATTGCTACAATAACAGTTATTATTATAATTAATCACTTTCCAGTGAACACATGACTTTAATATGACGTCATTTATAAGTCATAGGAATGTCACAATATTTTACGTAAATATGACGTACAATTGACCTGTTTTGTGATCCAATTATGATGTAATAATATATGATATAATTTTGACATCATACTGATGTAAGTTTATTACTTCTCTATGATATCACGGAAATGACTTAGATATTACGTACAACTGACATAATATATAAACTACAATATTACGTAACATTAATGCCATCATTGTATGTCATAATGACGTAAGTTTAATATCATGCGTTTACATCAGTGACAAGTCACGGTTGTACGTATTCTTGACGTAAGTTTAACATCATGCGTTTACATCAGTGACAAGTCACGGTTGCACGTAATCTTGACGTAAGTTTAACATCAAGCGTTTACATCAGTGACAAGTCACGGTCGTACGTAATACCGATACCATTTGTGAGTCATTATTTAACGTCAATAATTTGTCACAATTGTACATAATACTGACGTAATTTGAAAGTAATTCTCTAAAACAGTGACAAACGATTATTTTGTATAATATTGATAAAATTTGGGGGATGTATTTTCTTAATATTATCGATTAATCAAAATTTATCAAGTATAAAACTTCTTTAACAAGATGTCTAATTTACAATTAATCGTTTAATATTAGTAAAAATTGGTTTGAAATTTTGTAAAAATCAGGAAGAGGTGAACAGCTGGTTTAGGCCGTTACCTTGCAAATTTAAGTCCGTTCTTAATAACAAAAATTTATAATTTCTTAATATTAATGAATATATCCAATATATTAGAAAATAACATACAAAACATTTTTCATTTACGTTTTTAAGAAAAATACATATAAATTAAATACATGTGGGATATAAATTCTTTATATTTATGCTTGTATGTTTTCATACTACAAAAAAAAAAAATCTTGACTCAAAGGTAAATTTCTTTGGACCAAGAATATATTAAAGATGACTGAAAATTCCGTGAATGAAGTCAAAATTTCTTGAGACTAAAACACTTCTTCTTGCTCCAATATAACTTTGGCCTCCGTCAAAATTTTCTTGGTGCAAGAAATACTTTTTTTTTTCAGTGCATATGTTTCTCACTTATATTTTTTCCATGAATTTAGATACTTTTATCCGTTGTAAAAATATTTTCAACTTCATTCAGTATAAATGACTTGGTGTGAAAATGATACCAAAATACCGAGTTCAATTAATGTGGCATGAACTCTAAATTTTTAAACCGTCAAGCGAGTAAACGTACAATTTCTTATGATTTTGCGTCAAGAAATTAAATGTCAGTCATTTAAATATTGCACTATTACTTGAAAAATAATTTTCTGACATTAGTGCTGCTATTTATGAAACATTGTATTAGAAATAATTCAATCAGTTCCATGATTGTCATTGACGAGACTAATAGTATTTTATATCAAGTTTCATAATGTTGTTAGTGTGTTAAATAAAAGAAATTCAAATTTCGAAAAAAATTGAAATTAAAAAGAAATATAGATTAAAAAAATGTTATTCTTAAAAGAGTTTCAATTTAAAAAAAAATCTAAATTTCGTAAATTGAAATTTTGAAGAAGAAAAATCCAAATAAAAAATACTAAATTTATGGAAAAAATTATTTAAAAAAAATAAAATAATTCGAGTCTTGAGAAATCAAATAAGTATTAAAAAATATTCAAGTGACACGGATATATCGTTTACTCTGAAAAAATTTCGCTCAACCATGTAAAGTTCTGTGTCCGCTTTTACACGAAAATTTTTGAAAGTGTAAGATTAAATCAATTTTTATAAAAATTTATAAATTGCCTATTCATTATCGCAAGTTTCAGTAGCGAGCCTTTAATAAGAGTTTTTACAAAGTTTTATAGAACTTTATAAAATTTCATGAGTTTTAATGAAATTTTATGAAATTGTATAAATTATTAGACTTGAATTGTATACGGTTCCAGCTCTTAAAATCCATTTAATCTCAGAAAAAATTATGAAATAAGTATTTTTCGTCATGTAAGGGTTAACACATAAAAGTTAGTCATTAAGTGACACGAATCGTTACTTGGACAAGTGAGCAGCGTTCCAGACTTCGACACGTGAGGACCCGAGTTCGAACCCAGCATACCTCAAGATTTTTTCATCAAGTATTTACATATATCTTGTGTTTCAAAGCTTGTAATAAGTCCACAATACTATAATTGATTTCGAAATTGCAATTTTTTTATTTTTGAGAAATTTTTTTTTAAATACTTTTTCTGAGGTACAATTTTTACATCACTTTTACGTCATAATGACATCATTATCATGATTCATGATATAGACATCACAGGTACGTCATATTGACGTCATAAATGTCATGAAGACATAATACTGACGTCATGACTACGTCATATTTTTACGTCAGAATCTTACTTCAGGAAGTGTGAAATAATGAGACATATGACTCATTCGTGACTTTGAAATTATTATTATTATTGCTTCATTATTTTTATAAGGATTATTATGTATTAATAATTTTATTGTTAATTTTAATACTAATTTTATATTAATTATAATTAATAATTATAATTATATTAATATTAATTATTTTAATAATAATGTTATTATAATATTATTATATTAAATAGATTATAAAGATAAGGATCTTTGTTTTCGACCCTGTTCTCGATCTCCTTGCCCTGAAAACCACCGGCCAACTTTTTCAGCAAAATTTTTGCAATCTTCACAGTCACCAAGTTTCTCTTTGACGACATCTGCAATAAAAAAATAAATAAATAATTTGATACATTAAAAAACACAATTATATAAAAATCATTTTCATACCTTCCATACATTTAAATGTTTCTGTTGCGCTAAAATTAAGTTTTTCCACGCCTTTTATTCTTTTCCCAGTACCGGAGTAATTTTTTTCAACATTTTTGGTCATCAGTGCAGATGTCATTTTACAAATGCATCCTTCGCTGTTTTTTCACCAAAAATTTTGATCCGGAAAAATGCAAGCTGGAAATAATTATAATAGTTAATTTATATAGATTTAATTTAAACGTTACTATAACAAAATAGTATAACGATGTGTATAATATTCACCAATGTCTCTCTTTTTGATGCTTTCTCTGTTAAGTCAGTATCAAACTTCTGAAAGGCCACAAGATTTTTTATTGGAAGCTCCACATTCAATGTTTCAATCGCACTTGATGCACTTTGTTAAGGATCTGTAGCTACTTTGTTCGCTATCAATGAGCGTGTTCAGCCGAACTAAGTCCTGAATAAACTTAGTTAGCCTAAGTATAGTCAAAGCATTCCCTGCTATACATATATCTATCTACTATACTATACATATCATACTAAGTTTAATCAGGACTTAGTTCGGCTGAACACGCTCAATGTATTTTTGATTTCATCAACATATTTTTTGATATCGTACTGCAAGCTTTTATTCTCATTTATTAAATAACGTTTAACTGACTCAGCTTGTTCTCTCATTTTAGCGCTTATAAAATCTTTCAAGGATTCTATAAAAATATAAAATTATTTAAGTAAGTTTTAATGCAATTAAAATAATTATTGTTCAAATAAAAATCAATTTACCTAAGTCAATCACTTCCCTCGCTTCAGGAATCGTGCAGTCACAATAGGTCACAATAGCATAAATTTAATTTATTTCATTATCCTCCATCTATAAATATGTATTAATCATACTAATTGAATAATTGAAAATAAATCTTTTTTTTTTTTTTTTTTTTTTAAATCAGCACATCTAATAATTGTTAATATTTAAATAAGAAAATAATTGATGACAAGAGAAACAGATCAGGCAATTTTCACTTATTTTTTATTTTTATGCAAAACAACTGAATTTAATTTGAATTATACTTATTTAGAGATCTACACATTCATGTTAAATTTTCTCCCAATATTTAAATCATTTTCACTAGAACAAAAGCTTGAATCAATTTTATAAACCTTTTGTCTTTGTACATTTTTTAAATGATTGTATGTTTTATTTTGTAAAATATTTACAATTATTAGGTACCTGTTATTTTTAATATAACTATCAGTATTAAAATTATTTTTTTTAATTTACTTACTTCTTTTACTTTATTAGTTTATTCAATAAACCAAGTTTCATTTTCATACTTAATAATAATGGATATAATAAAGTTAATAATTATTATAAAGAAAATTATTTATTACTCTTATTATAATAGTTAATATTTAAATAAACGAATTTAAATACGTACGAACCGGTCAGTCACAATGTCCGAATAAACTGAAATAAGAAATACACACACACACTTACACATACATGATACGCGTGGCGCTGCTTGATTGTTTTCTGTATTCTGGGGTTCGACTTCGTCTTGCTTCTGGGGTTGAACTTCGTATTGTTTTGCGATTGAATTTTGTCCTGTTTCTGAGATTGGACTTGGTTGTATTTCTTTATCGGACTGTAGATTGAAATAATATATTAGAAAATTAAACATTAAAAACTTAAGGAAACATTACAAGTGCAACATAAAAAAAATAGTAACGAGCATTAGTATAAAATATTTGTTATATTATTTAGCTTTTCAAAAGTGTACCGAAGCGTTTTCTTATATATAAGAATAAGTATAGACCGGATAGCTCAAATGGTAGAGTAGCCGACATGTCTTCGGAAGGTTCTGGGTTCGAATCCTAGTCCGAGCTATCTAATAATTTTTTCTCGCATATTCTATACACTCACATTAAGATGATCCTCTCCACAATCCTTTCTCAATCCTTTGCTACCAAAATATCCTGTTACGTGAATGTTGGAACGCTTCACGTAATAATTATCCGTAACTCCTATTCTTTCCCGCTTCACAGCATTATTTATATTTGTTAATATTCTTTTATAAAAGATGGTTTACTTGCATGCATCTGAAATTAGTAACAAAGTATATATATAATCTTATTTTGCTTTCATTCATAATAAATATTTCTAGAAATTGAGCTCTTCACTTCAAGTTTAACTGATTTATTAACGGAAAAAGAAAATTTTACGTTAAAATATTTATAATTTTTGGTATAAGTGGATAACGGTTTTTTGATATAGATTTATCAAGTTACCATGTATTACATTAAGTTGTAAAATTCAAATGAAATAAGAATAGTCCAAAAGATTGAGTAATTTTCTAGATGGAAATTGTGAAGTGTATTGAAAATTAATGACAAAATTTCAATTTGCATGATCAATATAAACATTAACTCACTTGATCATTAATTTTATTTTTTCTCCGAAAAGAAACAACAACTTCGGATTTCGAAAACGACATCAAAATTAGAAAAAAATGAATTCAGGACTGAAATAATATTAATTCTTGGAATTATTATTTTGAAAACAAACAATATTTAAACTTGTTATAATTATGAAACATTTTTAACTTCCCGCTAAGAAAATCGAAGATTTTCAGAAATCGGGAAGTTATTGTTTTCACCCCGTTTTGCAAAAATCCAGTTTTCATCAGATCTCGACGTTTGAAGGTCACAGGAAGCTTCCCTGACTATCCCCGCGAGGTTGTCACGGTGTCTGTATGTATGTGTGTGTGTGAAAGTATGTGAACCGCTTATAACTTTTGAACGGCGTGACCGATTTGATCGCGGTTGGTGCCATTCGAAAGGGCTTGACCAAACTTAAATTTTGAATATAATTTGGAACGATTCGGTCCAATAGATTTTGAGAAATCGCAAAAAAACTACAAAAAACATTTTTTTGAAAAGTGGTTTTTTTGGAATAATTTTTAAACGGCTTTACCGATCAATTCCAAAAACTAATCAGCTCTTAACATAAAAAAACCGCGTCAATCGCCGCCAGTCCGGTCAAAATCGGTTGATTCGTTTGTGAGTTATCGTGAACGAAAAAAAACAGAAAAAAGTGTTTTTTCAGGATTACTCTGAAATTTTCGGTTCGATCAATTAAAACCTGAAAATAACTTATGAGGATGATAAAACTGCGTCGAATGCCGCCAACCGCGTGAAAATCGGTTGATCCATTCAAAAGTTATTGCGATTTGAAAATTCCAAAAATAGTGTTCTACTATTTTCTACTTTCTAATGAAACTTCTCAGACTTTCGAGCTAGGAGAGCTCAAATGCATCGAAATATTATCTCTTCGAACTCAGTGAGCTCAAAATATCACATAAATTATATTTTGAGCTCAAAAATGTCATAAGTACAATTTTAAGTGCCCAAGTATGGAATTAGCGGGAAGTTGCAGGGATGGCCTTTAGGGTGAACCGTTTTTCTAATTTTTTTAATTATTGTTTATTTATAAATAAATAATAATAATTAATTATAATAATGAAGATTATTATAATTCTAAGTTCATATAAATTATTACCTCTGCATCTGATGCATATAGCGCGTCACTTGATTCTATTACATTTGCTTTCGCATGCGATAATCTTTTCTGAAAAACAAAATTACCGAAAGTTGAGAGTTAATTTTCGAGTTATGAAAACATTACAGAGACAAATGTCGCTTTAGATGACATTTCGTGTCTATTATTACATAAAAACAATCAATAAATACTTACCTTTTCCTGAGAACATCCCTCTTCTTCGGTTTCTTCATTCGCTCATTTTTTAGACTCTTTCGTAAAGACTGGACTGTTCGAAAAATGCTTTCGAATTGGTGGTTTTTTTGATTTATTACACAATGGCAACAAAGAATCTTCTGAATCTGAAATTAAATAGCAATCAGAATTACTTATTGTTGGGCAATAATATTTAAAATTAATGAATATTCCCAAATATCCATCAAGTAATAAATTACAAATTATAATGAAGAAAGCAAGATCTATGTCATATTACTTAACTTTAACAAATCGAATTCACCTTCATTAGCCAGTATTTTAACTTTGATAGGTTTCTTCAGTTCATTAAACAGAACATAATCTTGATTAAAAAAAAGAATTTGATAGAATTAAAAAAATTTATATCCTCATGAATGCTATCCAATCCTGAAAATATGATTCAAAAGGATTCAACATGATTCAAATTTTTTAATTCTGTTAAATACTATTTAATTCTAAAAATATGATTTAACAGGATTTGAAAGGATTTAAACTGTTAAATACTGTCAATACTTGTAAATCCTAAAAATATAATTAATTAAGATTTAAGATGATTAAAATTTTCCTAAATTCAAGAAAATTCATAAAACATAATTAAAGAAAATTATATTACTTTCATGAAAGCAATATTTTCACAAAAGCCCATTTGTATTCAATCATTAATATTTCAGCTACCAATGGTTGCACAGCAAATTAGAAAACACTTTCGGAAGCTGGAATGAATTTTCTATGAGGACCTGTCAAGTCATGAAACGAAAAGATTTTTCTAAGCCTTTGAGGCGTAAAAAAAATTTTGAAAAAATTCTCCTTCATGCCATTTTTAGCTAAAATTGTTTGTCTGAAAATCTATAAACTATAATCATGAAGTTTTAAAGCTTTAAAATGTATCTTTTTAGATTTGCAATACGATAATTTTTCACTGAGATACAGCAGGTTAAAAATCGGGAAAAATTCAGACTTCTTTATGGGTATTATGCATAGAAAATAATTTATTTCAACTTCTACATGATCATGGTTTTTTCTAGAAAAAATAATAGTGAGCTCACTATTAAATTTTTCATTTTCCATTATAGATACAATAATTATTAAAAAATACAATAAGTTTCAAAAAAAATTTGCCTTATAAGTTCACTCTCATACGCATCAGGTCAAAAGTGAGTGTTTGTAGCGAAATTGCTCGCAAGAATTTGACTTTCTCAAAGCTGATACTGATTTTGTGTCAAAATTATTTTTGACTTTCTTTAAGGAGTACCCCGTTTTGCCCGCAAAAATAAAAAATCTTTTTCTAAACGGCTGTTTAAAATTAGTACTATTTATTTTAAACAGAATTAAAATGAAGACAATTTACAATATGTGAGTCCCCAAAAACTTAATATTTCCTTAATATGCAGTTTTGAAAAATAAGCAGGAAAGGGAATAGGGATGTTAAGATTTTACCTGGATGGGCGATACGTTTACAGAAAATATTTCTAAACTTAGTTAGCAATGAAAAGATTAAAAATACAAAATTTACCAAGAGTAAAAACCCAGAGTAATATAACTCAGGTATCAAATTTATGACCATAAGCAGATTAAAAATTATTTAAGAAGATATTCCAAAAATGAGCATTAAAAATTCATTTTCTATTCTAAAGCTAGAAAATAGCAAGAATATAAAAAGACAAAAAATTGTCTAGACTGCTATTGCAATACATAAACTGGGAAATTTACACTCATAAATAAAGTTGAATAAATGAATGAACCTTTTTTTCTAAATAACTTAAAATACTTAAATACATAATTTAAATAATAATTTTGACTATAGAATAAAAAATATAAAATTGTTTAATTAATTTAAATTTTTCTAATAAAACTAATCGTACGACGGAACAAAGAT